AAGATGGTAGGGAGTGGCACCAGCAAACTGGCAGAGTGAGGAGTTCCAAGGGCCCATCCCTCCACAGAAACATGGAAAGAATGGGGCAGAAACTGTCAGAGCCAACGCTATCAGAGCCCTGGAAGGGAGTCAAGGTTTTCAGCAACCAAGCAAATGCTGAATCAAGGAAAAGGTGTCTCTGACAAGTTAGAAGAGCTTTGAGGCATTTTTGTTTGGTCACAGCACCACCCTGCCTGGCACAGTGAAGTCTTGATGTGGCAATGTGAATTGTTCCCATGTGGGTGGATGGTTCCAGAAGGAGCAGAGTGGAGGCTGCTGCTCAAGAATTTGTGTGTTTTGACCTGAAAAACTGATGCCTACCTCAGAACTCTCTCAGGGTAGAACAGTGGCTAAGCAGAGGATATTCCTGGAAAACACTGAAAATCAAATGAACGAGTGCTGCTGTGTGGGGCAAAAAATTATAGTTGGGGCCAACAGTAGACATAGTAACCATCTGGGGGAAAAAGTTTGGGGAGAGTTGCTTTGGGGAATGAAGGGTTTGAAAAGCTGCTGTGTGTACCAGGAGAGTTAAAGCCATGTGCACACCAAGGGCAGAGAGCATGCTGAGGAGAGACTGTGGACTTCCATCCACAGCTGATCTTCAGGCTCAGTGCAGGCAGGAAGCAAAGGCTAAGGCAGGGCTGTGAGCAGACAAGCTAATGTTGACAGCCTGCACAACACATAAAATCTTCAAAGACCAGAGAAGTCTTCTTTCTTTGCTTGGTTTTCTTTCCTTTTTTTCCCCCTCCAAGACATTAAGGAAATTTTTGCCAAACCACTAGCTGACCACAAGCTAAAGATAAGCCATTAAACAAACAAGCAACTACAACCACAGCAAGCACACCAGACTTAGGAGGGGAAAGAATTTGATTTCCTGAGTGACCATCTCATAATGATCAAAAGGCACAGATTCCAACAAAAAATTACAAGGCATGCAAAGACACAAGGAAGTACAAGCCATTCACAGAAAATGGACATTACCAGAAAGTATCTCAAGGAAGCACAAATATTGGATGTACCAGGCAAAGACTCTGAATCAACTGTCCTAAATATGCTCGAAGGGATAAAAGAAACCAAGAGAACAAAGTCTCAACAAAGACAGAATATCAGTGAAGAAATAGAAATGACAAAAAGCAACCAAATAGAAATTGTGGTGCTGACAAGTATGATAACTGAAACAGAATATTTTTAGAGGTTTTCAACAGTACAGCTGAGCAGCGGAAGAAAGAATCAGTGACCCTGAAGATAGTGCAACTGCAATTATGCAGTCTGAGGAGCAGAAAGAAAAAAAGAATGAAGAAAAATGAACAGACCCGTGGGACACCATCAAATGTAGCAACAAACACCACATTGCAGGACAGGATAGAGAGAAATAGGCAGAAAGAATATTTGAAGAAATAATGGCCCAAAAGTTTCAAATTTGATAAAGGACTTGAATTAATATTTCCAGGCAGCTCAATAAACTTCAAGTTGTATAAATATAGAGAGATCCACACTGAGACATATTTTAATTAACCATCAAAAGACAGAGACAAAGAGAATCTTTAAAACAGCAAGAGGCATCTTGTCAGGTACAAAGGGTTCTGCATGAGACTAACACACAATTTCTCATCAGAAACCAGAGTCAGAAGGCAGTGGTGATATATATCAGGTACTGAAAGAAAACACTGTCAACTAAGAATTCTACATTTGGCAAGACTATCCTTCCAAATGAAACATTGACCCAGATGAAATGGATACATTCCTAGACACACACAAATACCAGAACTGACTTAGGAAGAAATAGAACATCTGAACAGACCTATAACAAGTAATGAGATTGAACCAGTAATTTAAAACCTCCCAAGAAAGCAAAGCTTCACTGGTGGATCCTACCAAACAATTAAAGAAGAATCAACTCCGATGCTCCTCAAGCTCTTACAAAAAGCAGAAGAGCAGGAAACATTTGCTAACTCATTCTCTGAGGCCAGTGTTGCCCTGATATCAAAGTCAGACAAAGACACTAAAGGGAAAGAGAACTACAGAACAATGTCCCTTGTAAATATTGATGCAGAAATCCTCAACAAAATGCTTGCAAACCAAATCCTCCAGCATGTTAAAGGGATTATTGACCATGACCAATGGGGATTTATTCCAAGAATGCAAGGATGCTTCAGTGTAGGAAAATCAACCAATAATAACACATCACGTTAAGAGAATGAAGAATAAAACAATGTGGGCATCTTAATTGGAGCAGAAAAAGCATTTGATATAATCCAACGTCCTCTCATGATACAAAATTCAACAGATGAGGAATAGAAATGAATTTCCTCAACCTGATAAAGGGCCGTTATGGATAACCCACAGCAAACCTCTTACTTGATGGTGAAAGACTAAAATGTTTCTCCTTAAGATCAGGAAAAAGACAAGGGTGCCCACTCTCACCACTGCTACTCAACATAGAGAAATTAGGCAAGAAGAAGATATCAATGGCATACAAATTGGACAGGAGGAATTAAAATGTTACCATTCAGAGGTGACATGATCCAATATATAGAAAATCCTAGGGAACCTACAAAAAACTTCTCAAAGCTACCAAAAAATTAAGCAAAGTTGCAGGATACAGGATCAAAACAAAAATTATTTTTATTTTATATAGTAGCAATGAATAGTTCAGAAAGGAAAATAAGAGAACAATTCCATTTACAATAACATCAAAAAGGAAAAAATACTTAGAAATGCATTACCAAAGGAGGTACAAGACTTATACGCTGAAAACTACAAAACGTTGCTAGAGGGAACCAGGGAGGACCTAAATAAACAGAAAGTCATCCCATGTTCATAGATTAGAAGGCTTATTATTGTTAATATGGCAATACTCCCCTAAATAATCTACAGACTGAATGTAATGCCCATGAAAATCCCAAAAGCCTTTTTCACAGGCATGGAGAAGTTGATCCTAAATTCATATGGAATTACAAGGGACCCAAACTGTTAAAACAATCTTGTAAAAGAAAAACAGAATGGAGGATTTGATTGGCACTTCCTGACTTCAAAACATACTACAGAGCTACAGCCATCAAAATAGTGTGGAATTGGCAAGAGGATAGTCATATAGACCAAAGGAATGGAATTGAGTCAAGAAATAAATCCATACATCCATGGCCAATTGATTTTTGACAATGGGACCAGGACCCTTCAATGGGGAAAAAATAATCTGTTCAACAACAAATGGTGCTGGAATAACTGGATTTCCACATGCAAAAGAATAAAGTTGGACCCTGACCTCACACCATACACAAAAATTTACTCCCTATAAATCAAAGATTAAATGTAAAATATCAAGCTATAAAACTCTTAGAAGAAAACATAAGTGTAAGTCTTTGTAACCTTAGATTAGGCAATGCTTACTTTGATATGACATTTCAATATATAAATTGGACTTCACCAAAATTTAAAACTTTTGTGCATTCCAGGACACTGTCACAACAATGAAAGGACCCCCTATACAATGGGAGAACTTATTTGCAGATCATGGATCTGATAAAAATTCAGTGTCTAGAATATATAAAGAGCTCGGACAACTCAACAACAAAAAGACAAGCAAGCACCCCAATTAAAAAACTGGGCAGGGGCGCCTGGGTAGCACAGTAAACTGGGCATCCGACTCTTGGTTTTGGCTCAGGACATGATCTCAGGGTCGTGGGATCAAGCCCAAGTTTGGCTCTGTGCTCAGCGCTTGAGATTCTCTCTCTCTCCCTCTGCCTCTCCCCTCCATGTGCTCTCTCTCTCAAATAAATAAATAAATCTTTTAAAAAATTGGGCAAAGAATTTGAATAGACACTCCTCCAAAGAAGACATACAGATGACCAACAAGCCCATGAAAAGATGCTCAACATCATCAGCCATCAGAGACACACAAATAAAAACCATAATGTGATAACCCTTTGCACCCACTGGGCTGGATAAGGAAAGAGGCAGAAATAACGTGGTGGTGAGGATGTGGAGAAACTGGAACCCTCGCGCATTGCTCATGGGAATGTAAGATGGTGTAGCCCCTGTGGAAAACAGTGTGGTGTTTCCCCCAGGTCTTATACAGAACAACTCCACTCCTAGGAATATATCCCAAAGATTTGAAAACCGGTATTCCAACAGATACTTGTACAAAAATGTCCATAGCAGTTCTGTTCACAATAGCCACAAGGTGGAAATAACCCAAATGACCATCAACGATGACTGCATAATAAAATGCAGCGATCCACACAGTGGAATACTATTCACCCATGGGAAGGAAGGAAGTGCTGACCCATGGGACATGTGGACCGATCCTGAAAACATCATGCTGAGTGAAAGGAGCCTTTCTCCCTCCCCAGCCACCATATTGCAGAGGCCACTTTCAGGTGCTCCTGCTGAGTGCAGCACCGGCTGCCCTCTGATTTGCAGACGTTGGGATGCTCATCACATGGTTATTACTGTGCAAACCACTATCTTTGGTGAAAATTTGCTCTTCACCAAAAGTTAACCAATACCCAACCTTCATCTTTTACCTCTTCCTAAAATAACTCCCTGGCCTTGGCACCCTGGCTAACTCCTGAAGTGTGCCTCTGTTGTCCCTCCCCCTACCCCCGTTAAAAAAAAAAAAAAAATTGTGTTTTCTCTCCAAGACCCCCCTGAAGGCCTGGTTCCTGTGGGAAGCCTTCTCCTTGGGGAAGGGGAAACAGGAGGAATCTCTGCGTGAAACTACCTCACTCCAAGCTCCAGGAAACCCCCAGAATGGGTGAGCATGGGAGATGCGCAGAGAATGAGGTCTGCACAGCAGGTCAACCTGCTGGAGATGCCGTTCCCAGGCGGATCACAGGGGAGACACTGAGGCGGATCAAGACAGAGCGGCTCCTGCCCATGAAGAGGGCTGCTTGGACCTGTGGCACCAACCGCCTGGCTTGCCGCCTCCACCCGAAGGCCATGAAGGGCGCCCCACGTACCTTTGTCCAGCACAGGGCCGAAGATGGCCAGGCTGTTGTTGACGGTGGTACAGTTCCAGCGGCGCCCGCGGAACTGATGCTGGCACTCCTGGATGCTGATCTTGATGCCCTCAGCCACACTGGGCATGATCTCCACGTAGTTTCGGCAGAAGCGCAGCTGCTTGGGGACCAGGCCGGGGATGCTGGCACACAGGATGGGCTGAGTGCCCAGGGATGAGTACTGGGGCCCGACGGCCAGGGACCTGGGGAGGAGGAGACCGGTCAGCTGGGGGGTGTTGCTCAGAGGAGGGAGTGACCCTGGCCAGATGGGGCACAGCAGCGGCCCAAAACCCCAGGGACATTCGCAACACTGGCACCAGCCCAGAGCCAGCCAAGTCCACACCCACAGAAGCAAGGGTGGACAGCTACTGTTTCCCCTGCCCTGGCCAGAAACGGAGCACAGTGCGCTGCTGATGGGGGCTGGCGCAGTCGCGGATGGGGGCAGAAACCAGGGCGTGGGGTCCTCCTGAGTTCAGGTTGGAGAACCGGCCCAAGTGGAAGGCGCCTGAGGGAACATCGCCCCTCATGCCTCCCACTCACCGCACGCACCTGTGACACCTAAGTTAAGTGAAACCACAAACGAAGAGAGAGGTTTGGTTTCTCAGTCCCACCAACCAACGTGGCCGTGGCTACCAAGGCGGTTGGTTAGAAATGGGACCTTCTGGTCCCTGTGGAAAGTTCTACCGGACCGCACCGGGCCGGGTGATGGGAGCGCTCTGTGATGGATGGGGGTGTTGGTTACACACGTGTTTGTGTGTCAAGACCCACCAAACCGTGTCCATTTTACTGTATCTAATTACACCTTGATTTCAAAGAAAAAGTGCCAGGTCCTTTTGCGGACATATAGGAAAGAGCTTCTACAATCAGATGGGTGACAAGTTGTAACATTTGCCTGCTCCCCGGGGTGACCCCGGATCCCGCCGCCCCTGCACGCCCCGCCCGCTCCCCTGGGTGACCCCGGATCCCGCCTCCCATGGACGACCCGCCAGCTCCCCCAGGTGACCCCGGATCGCGCCGCCCCTGCACGCCCCCGCCCAGTGCCACCCGGGGTCGGTCTCGCACGCGCTCTCCTATTGCTCTCCTTCCTCTGGGCTGCTGGGTGCTCTGCGTCCCAGGCCAGAGCGGAGATGCGGAGAAGGCCCCCAGCCTGGCAGGAAGGTCCCTGCTTATTTGGTGGCTTGGTCTGGGGGTCTCCAGGCGGGAGGGCCTGGGTCTCCTTTGGGGGAGAAGCCGAGTCAATGACGGCTTCATTAGCCTCAGCTGAACCCTAGAGGCTCTTCTTGTGCCCTGGGAGGTTGAGCACCCAGACAGAAGGAGGGACAGAGGCTTCTGGGTCCCTTAGCAGCCACACAGCTGCCTTATGGCCGTGACCTCAGCTAAGTCCTACCTTGACTCTAACCCAGTTCCATCCAGATGTGGTCAGAACCACAAGCTGCCTGCCAAGCGGGGGCACTGTCTGTCAGAGAAACAAGCCTGCCCTCGGGAGATACACAGGTGATGCTTTGACCCTTCGCTCCTCCTCCTTCCAAATCTTCAAGGCCACTTTGCCTTGAGGCTCGAAGCCCACGTCCTTCAGCACCCAGAGCTGCCTCATTGTGGTCCTGCTGGAGTCCGCTCTGTGGGCTCTCCCCACTCGCCCTGCAGGCCCTGCGCGGTCGTCCACTTCCGGCGGTCCCTCCCCCGACCCAGGCTTTGTCCCCCTGGTCCTCGCAGCCACATGCCATGCTCCCCTGCTCCTGTGCATGTCACCCTCCTGGCCTTCCCTCTGCGGCCACTCTGCCTTACTTAGGAAGCCAGCTGGGGAGTGGGCAGTTTTCCCACCTCGGCCGGTGCTCTCCTGGCCAAGCCCCCCAGGGCGTGTGTCCCCCACGTTCCTGGGCATGCCTTCAGTCCCCTACATTCCTGGGCATGCCCTCACGGCCACCGTGTCCTCACCTTCCCTTCCTCCTGCTCAAGAACATCTCCTAACAGTTCAAACCTGGCTCTCCCCAGGAGAGCACAGCGTCTTGCTGCCAGGTGCCTGAGTCAAACCTCCTTCCCGTGGGCAGTGGGCCCATGTCCCTGATCGTCCACACCTTCAGATGACGCTCCTGGCAGCGTGGGCCTCTCCCACATTCAAGCCCCAATATCTGAGGCCCCCTCCCCTGGCACAGTCCCCACAGATCCCGTCTGTCCTGACTCCAGTGCCTTGATGAGCCACACAAACCAGACATGACCTCGTGTCAGACATCGCAGGCCTCCCGGCTCCTGAGTGTGCCACCCAGTATGGCCTGGGATGGGGGGGCTGGCTCATCCCTGATGGGCTTGTTCCCTGGCTGGTTCCTTCACTACTTGCAGACCATGCTGTGTGCCGGGTGGTGGGCCAGACCTGACCCTCCCCACACTGCCCCCACACTGCCCCCACAGTCCCGTGAACCCCGCAGTTTCCAGAAAGAGCAGCTCTCTGCCTCACCGGCTGGTGTGGTCTTGCTTCTCTAGAAATTGTGCTGTGGTCTGAGCCTTGCTCTCCTACCCTGGCCTGCAGGGGCAGCTCTGAGTGGAGACCGCAGGGGCTGCCCCCGTGGGGAACCCCGCACTTCCCAGGGGCACAGCCGAGCGGGTGGGTGGCGGGATGGGAAGGAAGTTGGGCACGTGGGCTACGCAAGGGCCGAGAGGTGCAGGCCGACACCAGGGTTCTCTGACCTCAGGGGCCAGTGGGTGGAAGTGAGGCATCCAGCCTGAGAAGATGGGCCTGGGTGGGCCAGAGCACGGGGTGGGGGCAGGGAGGACGGGGGAGGCAGTGGGGTGATATGGGGAGACAGGCCGCCTCTGCTCTGTGTGACCCGCTGGGGCTCTGGCAGGAGCTCCCACACAGAACCTGTCCACAGCCCCGTTCTCCTTCAGAGCATCCTCACCTGTGTGCTGCCAGTTCCGACGCCCCCACCCACCAAGCTGCCCCTGTCACGGCCCCAGGGGCCATGGCCGAGTCCATGTACGGCCTGCCCGCAGCAGGCTCACATCAGGCGTCTGCTCCACCGTGAGCTATCTCTGGCAGTAACCCTGGTAACCCCACCTCCCACATCCGCCCAGCACAAAGCAATGCTGTGGGCTCCTTGCCAAGTGCTCTGGGAGCGCACGCCCGTCCCAGGCCCCCAGGCCGCGTGCCCCCTCCCCGCTCTGCATTCCCTGCTCTCACCCACTGTCAGCAGACACCCCCGCCCATGAGCGGAGGGACCCAGGGGGAGGGTCCCTGAGAAGTAAGTGGCCAGGCGGCCTTGTGAGGGCAGGTGCTGGGGTGGGGTGGGTGGACTCTGGTTCAGGATCCTTCTGCAGCTTCTACGGCCTTCCCATACAGGAGTCCACCCTTGCCTCCCTCCCGGTGGCCTGGCTGCTCCCTCGCCAGGCTCCTTTCTGCCTCTGACTGAGAAGGGGCTGCTACGGCCAATCCTGGAGGCCACATCAGGCCCGGGAGGTGACCACGGGACCAGGCTGATGGTTTTCAATCTGTGCAGCTCCGAGCATCCAGGAGCCCCAGGAGCGGTGCCTTGGAGGCCAGCTGGTGGGGCGAGGCTGGGGACCAACTGTCCCAGTTTGTGCAGGACCGTAAGCTGGATGAGCTGGTCACTGCAGGTGAGGCTGCCCTGGCCACTCTGGCTCCTCCACTCCGAGAACCGGGAGGCCTCACTGGCACTTGGATCACGTAACACTGACAAGCCGGCCCCAGTGCTCAGGGGCATAAGCCTGGGAGATGAACAGATGGGTGGCTGGATGGGGTGCTTAGCTGTGGGGTAACCAGGCAGAGGAGTTGTGGGCACACAGGTGCTCCTGCCAGGCCCTGCATCTGGTCTGACCGCAGACACTCTCGGATGGAGCGCTGGGGGGTCTCCGGTTGTCGTGGCTCCGTGGCTCCGGTGGCAGAATGCTTCCCTGGGGCCTGCTCTTCTATTGTCTCGGCCTTGCCCCAGCCCAGGAGGGGGCAGAGAGTCTGCCCAGAGGGAAACCTACGCACTCGATCATTTCTCTCTTGCTTGCATGTGCTGGTTTGCTTGGAGACTCAGAAGGAGTGGGGAAAAAGACCAACTTTGTCATTCCTGAGGTGCTGGCTCCCTGGCCAGATGCCAGAGCCACGACTCATTCTGGGTGGGGGCTGGGAGGGGGGAAAGGTGCACCCCGGAGCCCCACACCTGCAGCACAGAGCCTGCCTCCTGGGGCCCCCCACCTCCCAGGTCGGAGCAGGGAAGAGCATCTCCTGCTGCCTGCCATCAGGCCTCCTTCACGCCCCCAGCCACCCTCCAGGGGAAGCAGAGCGGGGACTTCCAAGCTCCCCACTGCTGGCAGCGGCCCGGTTCCGGGGTGCTGAGTCAGCTCCTGCCCGCCCCACCCCCAGCACCTCCACCTGGCCGGCCCTCCTCCTGGGCAGGCCCCGGCTCGCCACCTCCCGGAGCCGGGGAGCAAGGCCAGGGTGCCAGCCCAGATGCTGCCCCAGCTGTTCCAGCCTCCACCAACCCTGGCTGGGTTCTTCTCCCACCCACTCCAGACCCGACGCCCGATCCTCCTTGAATTCTTCCAGAGAGGAGACTGTGTCCCAGAGCCAGGTGGCCAAGGGGGCCTGGGCGCTGCAGACCCTGCCTGAGGAGGGTGGAGAGCTGCAGACGAGGGGGCCAGTGTCGTGGGCGAGGAGAGGTCACCGGATTTGGATTGGCCTCAAAGGCAAGATGGAGCCATTAAAGAAAACATTAAAGGTTCAACTGCTGCTCCCTACGCTTATCGTGGTGATCATTTGATAATATATACACATATCAAATCATCACCATGTACACCTTAACCTCTCGCCATGATACGTGTCAGGTATATCTCAATAAAGCGGGGGAAAAAACCCAAACTGGACGTGCACTATGCCCCCACACACCCAGGATCCAAATTCCTAAAGAGAAGGTAGATACCCCGATCCATCAGCGCTGGGAAAACCACAATCTGTAACTCCCTCCTCTCACACCCTTCTGGGAGGAAGTGGGGGCGCTCAGGATGAGGCCAGGGGCAGGACAGGAGGGTGGGGAGAGGCTCCAAGCAGAAGAGAAGGGGCTGCAAGGGGCCTGTGGCCACCTCTGGGGAATGGTGATGCACTGGCCTGTCCAGGGGTCTTGCCAGGGACTGGAGGCACCGAGTAGGAGAGGGGCGCCATTGTTCCTGTGCGTTATGTCTCCCCAAGTTCTCCTAGCCCGAGCCTGTAACATGCAACAGCACTGAGCGCTTGCTGGGCCCCCGAGTCTTATCCGGGAACAAAGGACATCCGCGGAGAGACGGCCTATGGCCTACAGCAAGGCACCAGGGTGGTCTCTCCACCCCAAGATGTGAGCGTGATGGGGTGGGTGCAGGTGGGACCAGGGACAAGCCCTCCCCAACCAAGCAGGGAAGAAAGTCACAGGGCTGACACGGGGTCCCGCGAACGCGGGAGGCCACGCTGTGGCTGATCAGTGTCCCCGCTGACTCCTGACAGGGCCGTTCTGCGCTCTCTGCTGCCGCCCACCCTCGGTCCCTCCGCCCCGGCAAACAACGATAGCATCTCCCGGTCCTGCGCGCGCACCCCACCCCTGGAGCGCCGAGGCTGCTCGGGAGCTTCCCAGAGGGGACCCAGGGCTCTGAACCCCGGGAAGCAGGCAGCCCCGCCAGGCCCAGACTCCGACTGGCCCCGGGAGGCCCCACCCGGCCGCCGGCACAGGATGACAGGCCACGCTTGCTCGCGGTGTGGCAGACGTGAATCAGGGTCTCCCTAGCCCCCCGTGCGCTCTCCAAGCACAGCCTCTGCTGGGAGCAGAAGTCAGAGACCCGGGGCATCCAGAGCGGCCGCCGGCCCTGTGACGGGGAGGCCGCGTCCCCGGACCAGAGAGCGCGCCCCGGAGCGCGCAGCCACAAGGCCCCCCAGTGCAAGCAGCCAAGGGTGACAGCGGGCGAGGCCGGGAGCACGCTCTTCCCCAGGCTGGCTGGCACTTGGAGACCCGAGTGGGGACCCCAGATGAGTCAGCCAGACGTGCCACCTGCAGAGCGTGAGCCTGCGGGTGTGAGCTTGAGCCGCTGGAAGCCCTGCAGTGTGGCCCCTGGGTGCGCAGCGGAGACCCGCGTCCCGTCTGCTACGCGCCCTGTGAGCGGCTTAGACCCGGGACCCACCCCGCTGTGCAGCTCCAGAGGTGAACACGGCGCCCCCGTCGCCCGCCGCCTTGGCCTTTGTGCTTGACTCCCGAGCTCCTCCTGCGGCCCGTGCCGCCCCTCCCCTGCACCCCCCCGTGCCTCCCCTCCCCTGCCCCCGTACCACCCCTCCCCCATACCACCCCTCCCCTGCTCCCACGTGCCGCCCCTCCCCTGCCCCCGTACCACTCCCGTATCACTCCTCCCCTGTCCCCTGCCGTGCCACCCTTCCCCTGCCCCCTCTTACCGCCCTTCCCCTGTACCACCCCTCCCCTGCCCCCGTGCAGCCCCTCCTCTGTCCCCCTACCGACCGTCCCCTGCCCCCGTACCACCCCTCCCCTGTCTGCTGCCTATCCCTTGTGCAGGCTGGCTACTTCTCCCATCTCGGCTCCTGGCATCCCTCCTGCCTCTGCCTACCATTAGCCACTACCA